CCCCCCTTACCCAGCACTCACCGCGCTCGGTGCTCCCGGGTCTCAGCGTCCGCGGCTCCCGGGGGCCCCCGGGGCTTTTATTTCCCGTCCTGCCCCGCGCCCAGGCCCCGCCCACCCACCCACCCAGCACCCCGCGTGCTCGGTCCCTCCCGGTGACGTCACCGCCCGGGGTTGCGGGGTCAGAGCGGGGTCAGGGTGGGGTCAGGGGGTCATCCGGGCGCCCCGTGACCCCTCGGTGACCCCTCGGTGACCCCTCGGTGACCCCTCGGTGACCCCGGGACCCCGGAATCACCGTGCACGGCCCGGGAGCACCGAGCACCGAGCACCCAGCACCCGGGGGGGCGGGGCCGTGACGTCAGCCGTGGGCGGGGCCTCGGGGGGAGCGGTGGGCGGGGCCGGAAGCGCGCGGGGGCGGCGAGGACCGAGTCACGGTGCAGCCAGCACCCCCGGCCGCATTCCCCGGGCCTGCGGTGTCCGTCAGAGCCGTTTCCTAGCGACTGGGGAGGGACTTCCGGTCCCGCTCTCGGGCCTGGGTGTCAGTCAAGAGGGTTTCCTAGCAATTCGGGAGGGACTTCCGGTCCTCCTCTTGGTCCGCGGTGTCTGTCAAATTGGTTGCCTAGCAATTTCGGAGGGACTTCCGGTCGGAGCCTTGGCTGGTATGTCAGTCACGAGCGTGTCCTAGCGACCGGGGCGGGACTTCCGGGTTCCCGTCGAGTGACTCAGGAATCCTGCAGGAAGTCAACAGCCCCGGGGCCCGCATTCCTGCGCCGCCCGTCACTCAGGGGTGGCCTGGGAGGGACTTCCGGGTTTATGCCCGGTCGCGGGTGTCAGTCAAGAAGGTTTCCTAGCGACTAGGGAGGGACTTCCGGACCCATTCGTGGTCGGGGGTGTCAGTCATGAGCGTTTCCTAGCGACCGAGGCGGGATTTCCGCTCCCTGTCTTGGTGGTTGCTGTCAATTACGAGGGTTTCTTAGCAATTTGGGAGGGACTTCCGGTGTTGAGTCGTGACTGATATGTCAGTCACGAGCGTGTCCTAGCGACCGGGGCGGGACTTCCGGGTTCCTGTCGAGTGACTCAGGAATCTTTCAGGAAGTAAACAACCCCGGGGCCCCGCATTCCTGGACGCTGTCCGTCACCGCCGCGTGGGCGGAACTTCCGGAGTGACTGACGTAGCCCCGGGCCACGCATTCCTGGGCGCCGCTGTCCGTCACCGCCGACGTGGGCGGAACTTCCGCTGACACAGCGGATTGACAGCCCCGGGGCCCGCATTCCTGCGCCGCTGTCCGTCACCGCCGCGTGGGCGGAACTTCCGCTGACACAGCGGATTGACAGCCCCGGGGCCCGCATTCCTGCGCCGCTGTCCGTCACCGCCGTATCCCAGCGACCCGAGGCGGGACTTCCGGGAGACCCTGAAGTGACGGACGTAGCCCCGGGGCCCGCATTCCTGCGCCGCTGTCCGTCACCGCCGTATCCCAGCGACCCGAGGCGGGACTTCCGGGAGACCCTGAAGTGACGGACGGAGCAGCCCCGGGGCCCGCATTCCTGCGCCCCCTGTCCGTCACCGCCGTATCCCAGCGACCCGAGGCGGGACTTCCGGGAGACCCCATTCCTGCCCCGTTGTCCGTCATCGCCGTATCCCAGCGACCCGAGGCGGGACTTCCTTTCTGGGATCCCTTCGCCTGTCCATCAACCTTGTATCCCGGCAACCCGAGGCGGGACTTCCTGTCTGCGGGCCGCAGTGAGGCGCCGCCGTGCTGTCCGTCATCGCCGTTGTCCAGGCGACGGGGGCGGGACTTCCTGTTTTTTTTCCCGGGGAGCAGAATGGCGGGAAACGGAAGAGAAGCCGCGGTTTGTCATTTTATTTAATTTATTCGTCGTTTCATTTTAATAATCGCTTCCTCCTCGTGATTATTTCGTCCTCCTTGGATCCTGATTGGTTGGGATTTTCACTCATTTCTAGTAATTAATTCAGTTATTCATTTTTAATTATTTTTAATGACGTCATTTATTTTTATTGAATTTTAATTCTTTTTTATTTTTATTATCATTAATTTTTGTGGTTAAATTTTCGTGATCTGATTTATGGTCGCCTCATCCTCACTGATTTGAGATTTCAGTCATTTTTAATTATTTATTCGGTGATTAAATTTTAACTGTGACTTCATTACGTCATCGTTTAATTATTTTTATCGAATTTCAAGTTTTATTCCGTTTTGTTATCGTTTAATTATGATGGTTCAATTTTAGTGATCGGATTTATGGTCGCCTGATCCTGAGTGATCGGAATTTTCACTCATTTTTAGTTATTAATTCAGTTATTCAATTTTAATTATTTTTAATTAGGTCATCGTTTCATTATTTTTATTGAATTTTTTAATTCTTATTCCGTTTTATCATCGTTTAGTTATGATGGTTAAATTTTAGTGATTTGATTTATTGTCACTTAATCCTGATTGGAATTTTCACTCATTTTGTGTTTATTAATTCAGTTATTAGATTTTAATTATTTTTAATTACGTCATCGTTTCATTATTTTTATTCAATTTTTTAATTCTTATTCCGTTTTATCATCGTTTAGTTATGATGGTTAGATTTTAGTGATCGGATTTATGGGCGCCTTGTCCTGACTGATCGGAATTTTCACTCATGTTTAATCGTTCAGTTATTAAATTTTAAATTTAATATTAATGACGTCCTCATTTAATCATCTTTATTAAATTTTAATTCTTATTTTAGTAGTCCCCGGGAAGGTACCCATGATCCTGTAAACAAACCTCCACCTTGGTTCTGTAACCAACGATAATGAAACTCATGGATCATATACACCCCCCAAAAAAGAAAGTTGAAGAGCGGCCTTAGTAGGAAGAGGATAGGGATGAATGAAAGGGGAGGGGGGGACAAAAGAGGGTCACAGGAATGATAGGGTCAAAAGACATCATGAAAATGTCACGATGTAACCCATTATTATATATAATAATATAATATAATATTGCTAATAAAAGCGTTACAAGATGAGCAGCAGTGTGTGAACCCTACCAATGGCCTTGTTGAGTTTACCGTGGTGGAATAAACTGAAAAGAGGAAGAAGAAAAGAAGCTCAGCGTGATGCTTGCCAAATGACGGGTCCACAGATTTGCCATCGTGACCTCTTTGTTATCACCAGAAATAATTTTCAACATTTTTGAAGACCGTGAATTACAGAATAACTCTAGAACAATTGCCTGAGTCCTCTTTAGAAGCTCATAGCTCAACACTGGCTCACCTGAACCCTCTGTCTTTGAAAGCAGGATCCTGCCATACTCTTCTAGGATGGCCCACTCATGCTCTGGCGCATGGCTAGTATGATTCATAACTATTTTAGATTTTACTATATCTTATTATAATTATAATAAAAAAAATACAAAGGTGAAATGCAAAAACACATGCTTGATGCTTACTCAGACCTCGCATTTTGCCAAATACTTCTGTATTCCAAACCTAAATTTCTCCAGGGTTAAATTACAACATCGTGTTTTAAGATATTACAAGCTTCATTTTTTTTTTTTTAACTAAAAGCCTAACTTTTTAATGTCTCTATATAGTTATGCGTATCTGAATTGGAAAGAAGGCAGAGTCTCCACATGTTCATTTCAGCATGGGTTGCTAAAGATAGCGCAGTCAGTGCATGAAAATGGCCTAGCTTGAGTCAATGAGCAGAATCACAAAGGGAAACCACGATAGGAAATAGTTTTACACACATCATTGCTGAAATCCTCTAGTGAATGTGTCAGTCTGTACTAACTAAAAAAATTTGTTTATAGACATGCTCTGTATTAGCTTCCACTCTCTTACAGCCCTTTGCCAAACAAAATCCCACTAGAAGTAGGATGTTCACACCCGACTGGGAGTTTCTTAGATAAATATTTTTACTCTATGGAGACCAAAACCACTTTTCCAAATTTCAAACTTTGATTGAAATGCTATATTTCTTTACATTTGGTGTTTCTTTTTTTCTCTCTCTCTCTCTCTCTCTCTCTCTCCCATCTTTTCTCCTGGCAGCCATGTGTGCCTCCCACACCCACAGTTCTGGTGCACAGGATGCTGGCTGCAGTCACACGTCAGCCCGTCTTGTGAGTGGGGGACTAGTCTGTCCATCACTGCCATCGGCCAATGGACTGGAGAGGCACAGACAGGGCCATTCACAAAGCAACTCTGCTTGCTCTCTCCTGCAGCCTGGCTGAAGTGGTCCTTGGAGCCCTTTCAGGGTGGAGACTGTCCATCCTGAGGCTGTGCTTTACGGGAATACTGTCTCCATTTCACTCGAGGGCTGCATGAGCAGAATCAAGGAGATTCTTCCAGGCTTCCAAGATCATAGTAAAAGTTCATAAAATGTCAGGCATCGTCTTTTGTAAGAATGACTCAGATCCAGCTCTGGCCAACTCACTCTAGAATTGGTGCTGAATTTTGCATAGGCCTTCTCAATATCTGTTGTTAACTGATGAGATTACATATTTTGAAATTATTCTTAATTAGAATTATCTCTGTTAGAAGTGCAGCTGGACCACTTATTCTTTATAAATCTAAATTTCCTTGCTATCTTTAAAGTAATTTGACCAGTAAACAGTTGACTTAGACAATGGCATGACAAGGGGAATCTAGGCCTGTGCAAGAACTTAATCACTGTGGACTCCAAAAGCCTACCCGTAGAATTAAGTCAGTACCTAGTAAAGTGAACACTCTCCACATTGTAGGTTCCCATGGATACTATTTCAGGAGAGAGTTCCATAGGTCAGAATATTTAGTCATCTCACATGAGAGCTCTGTTCAGAGTAAGCTTTCACACATGGGAAACTTTTTGTTTATGATATTTTGGAGGGAAAGCTTCAAAATGGCCACGGCAAATTGTAAATGTCCATGGTGAGTTCTATTGGTTTCAATGTGTTACAGAAATATAAGGGTATAATATTTGCAAGTTAGAAGAATCTGTTCCTAGTGCTTCCAGAACACCTAACTAAGGGTAAAGAGGATATGAGGGCTTGGGAGAAGCATGTCATCTGTTGTCAGTCCACAGCTGTTTTGTTCAGTTTTCAAACAAATGCTGAGGAAATAGTTTAAATTAATATAAAGAATTTATGCCAGGCCCTAAAGCGGTGCTCCCAAACAATTAGTAGAATGCTGGTGTATCGTGGTATTCTTAGGTGACTTTGTTAACCTTCCCGTGCAAACATTCTGGGTTGCTGTCTCTGATTTCATGGGTATTCACCATAGATGACTGTTTAAGAACAAAATTATCCCCAGCTCAGGTCTCAGCTGTGTCACGTGCTTCCAGAAGCCTCCTTAGCCGACAGCTCCCACCTCTGCTGCTCTCTGATCTGAGGTCTGTTGTGCGCTCGTGTATACATCATGTTTGTCAGCTCTCCTCCCACATCACAGTGATCCCCAGAGAACAGGAACCACCCTGCGACCTTGCGCTATCTGCCATATGGTGCAGGGTTCATTCGATGAATGAGTGGATGGGTGGGTGGGTGAATGGAAGGGAAGGAGGAAGGGAGGGAGGATGGATGGGGGATGGATGATAGCAGGTTTCTACAGAAACATGCCTTTTCATATGGCTACCACATATGATAGGGGTGCGGCTCCTGGTGGAATATGAATCGCAGAGGCGGAGGTTATGTCTTTCATTCTGTGAGAGCTGCGGGTGAGGGAGAAGAGCAGACGTTTCTGTGTGAACAGACCCTGCAGAGTCTCCGCGTGCTCGTTCCCGTGCTGTTGGGCACTGCCGTCACCTGATGTGCGGTAATCATTCTCGGGGGGAAATGTGCACGTCGGGAAAAATGCAGATATTTAATATCAAAAATCGCCCAAGGGTTTTGATGTTCTACCCATGCCTGTTGAGAAGTCTGATGAAACTCTTCTTTTTGTCATCATCCTTATTTTCCTTGCCGTCCCTAATCATGGAAAATTATCGCCCTGCAGTCAACATCCTTACTTTGGGGATGGCAGCACTTACTGCATTTGGTTTCCATCTGCCAGGCTCGTAGAAGGTCTGAAATTTTCAAGGTCGTTTGTGTCTGTCCTGAGCCAGCCTAGATGTGCCCATAACTGCTCAATATTAATAGTTTAATTCTTTTTCTTTCCTACACTGAAGTTCTTTTCCTTACCCTTAAAACAAAACTAAATTAGAAGTAAAAACAAAATTTTGTGAATAGAGTATATAGATAAAAACCAGAAGGAAATCTCAGAAATGACACTTTAGTCAACTGTCCCATAAGATTAAAGTGCCACATACTATCATAGTTAGAGAGACAACTATGAGGGTCATTGAGAATCGTCACACACTTGACAGAGGAAAAAGAGCCTGGCCAAGACGGGGAAATGACCATCCTGGATCACTCAGCAAAGGCCGGAAGAGACCATGCCTGATAACCTGCGGCCCCATTCTTAGCCCACCACCCTGTATTTACATGAGGATATTAAAGACGCACCAGCCTTCTCATATTTATCCCACACAATAAAGTAAACTTATTTCTTAATGATGCTGATTATAGATACACCCTGGAACATAAATGTGAAGTCATCATAATGAAATCTGAAGTCGACTATGCCAGCACATGAACTGTCTATACATGGGTCTCAACTCGGAATCACGCGTGAATACACAGTTTCTGGGTGAGTTTTCATTGTTGTTGGTAAGGCCTTGCATTTTAGAGGTCAAACTTGAAAATAAATAAACCCACAAATAATAAAGAACTTTTCTTCTGGAAAAAATTGATGCTGCCCTCTAGACTAAGGGTAAAGGCAACAAAAATACTTCTCCTGCCACCTCAATTCAGAAGCGTGACTTTCTGGAAGTGCCTTTTCGAGGAGGTCGCGTCACTGACCTCTCTGCCCTCACACATGATAATAGTTGAGATTCAAAAATAATGTTCCAATTTTAGGGGCCAAGGTTTTTATTTAAAAAAAATCATCAGAAGTACAAATATTTTCAAGCTGTCTATATAGCTCCTGTGTTACTGTCTGTTCTTTGTTTTTTAAAAAATAATAAACAACCCACATTCAATGTTTTCCCACATAGAAGATAAGTAGACATAACTGGTGATCTGTGGCCTGGAAGAAAATAAGTTTATTTGTCTAGAAATTGTAAAGTTCAGATTTATGAATTTTTTTTCAGCATAACTCCAAAATGAGGCTCGTATAACCCTTGTGTGAAGTAAATCAATCACTACAGAGAATGTGTGCTCTCATCTCCTCCTGGACCGCAGATAGAGCCTTCCCAGGTTGCATTTAAGTTCTCCCATCAACCATGTATAC